AAAGAATAGGCAGCATTTGGTAGAAGAACGAAACACGATATTTACCAAGAATGGAGGCATGCGCGAAGACTTGCCCGTACGGCTCCCGCCTAGAGAGTCGATGAGTTGTTTTAATAGAGTGCCAAACGAATCGTAAGTCGTTTAGATCAAAAGTTGGTGGTAGGAAATCGGATGTAAGAAGCTGTGACATGGCTAGAATTGTTACCTACCATCTCCAGATCATGGATCCACTTGTCGTCAAAAAATCGTCCTATGCGTTTTGGGGGTAGGGGGTAATTTATAAAAAAATATGGATTTTTTTTATTCGTGGAAAATATTGATGGGTTTCAGCAGTACTTCCACCCTGTCGAATCTTGATTTCGTGTGGCAAGTGGAACAAATTATATAAAATTTTGAAATCCACTAATTACATTAGGAGATATGAGAAGATCGTATTTCAAACGGGAATTTTCGTTAAATTGTTTATCATATAACTCGCATTATCTCAGTAACTCCAACGTTTATCGAAAAAATACTTCGAATAATGTCGATGCGCCTATGTTTCAAGATGCGAATGGTTCTTTGAATTTGAAAATCAAAGCATAAATAAGGAAGATATTGGGAGAATCATAATTCATTGCAGGTACTCCAAAGGACCGCGACTCGCCGCTTTCATACCCATATTCTCCCCGCAACGCCCGCGGCCTTCCTAGTACGATCACCGTAAATATGAATTACTGTGTGTTCCAGAATAGTACAATCTTGGAATTCACGGTAGAAATTAAATCAATGGTTTCCAAGTTAACAGAAATTTCTTAAAACTTGCTTTTTGATTGGAAGTGACCTCAATTTATTTTATGAATGATTCTATCTCGAAAGTACATTTTTTGCCCATCTCATTTATTAACAAATTGAAAAGTATTGAAACAGATACAGCAGAACAGCATATCATATAGAAATAAAAATAAGATATCCTTGTGGAACCTTGAAAAAAAAATCAATACCTATTGAATTACGGAGTTCATGTGAGTGTTTCGAATTTCCAATTTGCAAATATTATATCTTGCTTGACAGATACTCAACACCTTGGAATCAACTTATTCATCGTGTATAAGGAGAATGATCAAAAAAATAAGTTTTTCTGGTATCATATCCTTGTAAGCCTTAACATCTATAATCTTGAGTTGTTCATCATAATCTGGAATATCTCTTATATCTTGCCTAATATCACAACAAAATTTGTGTATCTGGGTCAAATCTGATGCATGCAAATTCATAAGAGTATCATCTGTAATTTCACTTTGTTCTATATGTGTTTGAATCAGATGAGTTTTTCTCACTTTATAGGAATCACAATATAGTCTCATTAGAACGTTTTGATTTGATAATTTCTATCTCATCGTCGTAGTGCTTTTTGATTTTTCCGATTAAGGTTTTCCAAACATTTTTGCCACCAAGTTCGACATATTTTTGATATAAACAGTTGAAAGCGTACCCTTTGTCATTTGAAAATCCACCATCTATTAATTTCATCAGATTATCAAATTCTCTGTCATGTGTGGTACTGACAACTTTCTCACTCAGTGATCCTCTATAATGTTTTCTATTTAATACAGAGCATTGGCTATGATACTTGACTTCCATGGCGATTAACAATGTTGGTAGTCAATACTTGAGAAAGCTTTCTCTTATTTGAACGTTTTTGGCAGAAATAGTTATTTATTATACAAGGGAAAAAAGTAGTAGATTTTAGCTCCAGGTTGTGTTGTCTCCCGACTCGTAGCGGAGGGAGACAACAAACCGTGAGCTAAAATCTAATATTTTTCCCGTGTATAATACACTATTTTTTTTCTGTGACAGAAGAAAGGACGAATCAATATTGAGAAGATATTACATTATTTTGAAATCTGAAAATTATCGACGTGAAATTTTAAGTTTTTAACAGAAGGGACACCGCGTTGTAGGCATCTTTATCATTCATTTGAAGTAATCAAATATCTGATGTCACTTCTGTCAGTCTAATTCTGTGATTTGATTTCAAAAAATTGCGAATTCAGTGGTTGTTTAGTAATATACGTAACCGCGAAGTCGAATGGAAGATAAAAGGACTTTCAGTTCTTTCTCGGAGACGGTATTATTGACTCATTTTTCGGAACTATAGCACAACAAAAGCCATCAACAGTGTATATATATGTGATACATATCCGGGAAAAAAGTACTCACTTTTTTCCCACGGGAAAAAAGTAATTTATGAAAAGTGACATTTTATAACCTGCCAACAGGGATGAAATGCCAAACTTTTTTCCCGTATATATATGTGATACATATCCGGGAAAAAAGTACTTACTTTTTTCCCACGGGAAAAAAGTAATTTATGAAAAGTGACATTTTATAACCTGCCAACAGGGATGAAATGCCAAACTTTTTTCCCGTCACAGAAAAAATACATTTAGATCAGGCGCATCAAAAATACAAAATTCACGAAGTGTTATCATTTTTTCTGGCAGGATTACATCTGATTCACCCTTCACATCAATTTCACTAGAAAGCGTTATATTCCTGTCACTTTTGTTGTCAGTTTTCAATATTCCGTTTGCTCGTGATAATGGAATTACAGTGCCTGTGCCAGTAGATCAGTTGACCGTTAATGTCATCGAAAATATTATCAATTCTATGAAGTTCCATATCGATTTGGCTCGCATAGTTTTTTCTTATATTCATACAACTTTCGGATGTTTTTATAGATAATTTTGTATAACGAAGGAGTTGATCATCTTTTCCACAAATGATACATTTTGTCGATGATTCTGCACTCTGCTGGAAATGGGTCTTCAACTTCAAGACATATTCAATATCAGTGTCTGAATTGCTGATACGTACTTTCCATCTTTTATCTAGAGAAAAATATATTCTATGATGAATTTATCATACATGTCGTTGGTTTACCAATACTTATTCAATTATTAAGACAGCACAACACAAGTATCGAATGATCAATTCACAGTAAGTCACCACTGAATGCTATGGTCAACGACTCAATGTTGATGTGTATTACGAAAGCGTATGGAACCATGATAGCCGCGGGGATTGCGGGGAGAATAGGGGTACGAAAGCGGCGAAACGCGTTCGTCCGTGGTACCTGCATTGGATTATGATTTTCCCAATATCTTCCTTATTTATGCTTCGATTTTAAAAAACGAAGAACCATTCGCATCTTGAAACATAGGCGCATCGACATTATTTGAAGTATTTTTTTGATAAACGTAATTTGTTCCACTTGCCACACGAAATCAAGATTCGACAAGGTGGAGGTACTAAAACCCATCAATATTTTCCACGAATAAAAAAAATCCATATTTTTTTATAAATTACCCCCTAACCCCCAACGCACAGGACGATTTTTTGACGACACGCATAGATGACGTGGATCCATGATCTGGAGATGGTAGGTGACAATTCTAGCCATGTCACAGCTTTTTACCTCCGATTTCCCACGGGGTGAACGATAGGATTCGATTGGCACTCTACTATTTGTTAGGTAAGCTGTGATTTAAGCATGAAGGGCTGGTTTTCCGAGAAAAAATATCAAGTCCTTTTTTAAAGAACAATAAAATGTGCATCATTTCAAACTGAAATCACTTACATTGACATAAAGCATAAAACTTTCCGAGTTACATGCAAATTTAGAGCAAATTTTCAGAATTGAAAAAAATTTTGTTTTCAGCTATCATTTGCTATTTTTCACTGTGGAGCGATGGTTTCTCAGCAAAATTAAACAAACCTAACTAGGAATATAAGAAATTGAGACTCGATTCGTGGTATAAAAACAAATGAACAGGTAACGTGAAATTTCACATTGAATCACATCAAATTGTATGTATTTTTTTATAAAAGATGTTACATTTAGGAAAATAATGAACGTTACATGAAATAATTGAAATTTTGAATCCTGCACCTCTTTGAAGAAAGAACCTAGAGTTGAGATGTGTTCTACTGAACTACTGCCCTTTTCCTGCTCATGTGATTGATACTTGTTAACTTTTGTAGTGGGGAGTGACGCAAACATCATCTGCACTATACATTTCTGAAGAACAGTAGATTCTCCATCATTCAAAAGAAGAGTATCTATATTATTCTTTGAATTACAGCCATTTGAAATACGAGAAAATGTTGACAAATATCAATCAGTTTCATTTGAACGTCTCTGATCAGATAGAATTTATTGTCCATATCTAAAAATTGATATTATGTAGATCTATTGCTAGTTAAAATGCTGAAATCGCCATCATAATATGAAATGGAGTCATAGGACATTTTCAACATAGTGAAGTTTTCTTGTGGCATGGTTACTTCAGTATTCAAATTTTCAGGTTCTGAAATACTGAGTGACTATTGATATTATTGATCAAATCTTCTACTTCCGTTTCATACTAAACATAGATTTTTTCCTCTTACGTTATATTTGTTTGCTTGCTTTATTGCCTACCTTAAACCTAATGTTTCTAATTCTACTGTTTTTATTGTTGCTTCTATATCACTGTACTTCTAGATCTCCGAAATCAATCACTTTTTGAAATACGAACGAAAAGTTTTTCTAAGCCCTAGCAGATTGAAATCTACGTTTTCGTGTTGGATCGGTCAGGATGCCGTGTATCCATCGAAAATAGCAGTTATCCTACCGACTGTGCCAGTTGTGATTCTCATACACAGGGTTGTATTCTTATTTTCAAAAACAATTTATTTTTCTTTATAGGCAATCAAGAAGTTAGCGTTACAATCAAAATGACTGAAAATAGTGTTAGTTTGATTTCAAATGTAGGTAACCAAACATGTGTCGGTTATCTATACATACCTTACAAGTGGGATAGAAAAGCATAGAGTGAGAATGTTTGGATGCGATGAAACTCTTATAGGAAATGAAATTATCTAAGTTCGAAGATAACATGAATGTGCTTTAGACCATTTCAAATGACAGCAATCATTTTTCAGAGAATATCCTGACTTATTCACTTTCAACTTACCTTTTATGTTGTATCAGTGCTGATGAACTGGCTACTCCATTAATTGAGGCTGCAGGTACACTTTCATATGTTTGTTTGCCAAACATTTTCCAAACATTATTGCCGAAGTTGTTAGATTCAGTGGACACTCCTCTCCATGAAAAAACATGCCTGGAAATTGAAGAAAATTAAATCCCAATCTGCTAAACACAGTCAAAATTCCGTTTCTGGTGGCCACTGTATATTATTTTTTGTTAGAAAGGTGAACGGATGTTAGAGGGCTAGAATTTGAAGATATATTTTGGTCATATTTGCCACTCAAATTCATCGTTTCCACTTGTATGATTTGTCTAATTTACATTTATTTATGAGAGCTCTGAAACGTATAAACAGATCATATTTTTATTGTTGTAATCTGTGGGGTGAGAGGGACATGAGAAATTGATTTTTGTTGCAAACTTTGGACTCGGATATAGCACTCCAAAAACATATATTATAACCACAGAGAAATCAAGTACTTGAATGTTGTCCTCGTGAAAATACCTTTTTATTGAACTAATATGCAAATGAGGAGATAGATAAATACAGGATCCTGCTCCTGCATATCACCTCCTGTCTTCTATAGCTCAGTAAGGAGCTCAGTTATTATTCAAGTTAGACTTCTGTTATTTTGGTGACTTCATCTGTATCATAGGGCACCTATCAGGAAATTATTTCCGATCATACAAGGTGTCCTGAAAAGTGTGATAATATATTTTTTTAAACGGCATGCCCTATATTTTGTTGCACATTTCAGTGCTTCTTGTGGTTATCAACATTCTACATACTCCTGGAATTTATTGAAATCGGTTCGGTGATATTCACAAAAAAAACAAAAAAAATCAATGTCGCACAAAAAATTAATAACGAAAAAGATAGTGTCTCCTTATAAAAACAGTCGGGAGTGTCAAGAAACTCAGGCAAAATTTTCGTATAGCGAAAATGCGCCGCAGACGAATTTTTTTGGCTTCAGGGTCAATTGCCTTCAGATTGAAAATTAGATTTCTTCCAGAGTGATAACAATTCCATTTCAGTGTATACCAATAGGAGAGGTTTATGGAGTTCAAGGTCAAATGAATTCAATTTGAAAATTAGATTTCCTTCTAGAATGACAACAACTTCATCATAACATTATAGGTACTATTGAGGGTACTATAAATTATTCAGTTCATGTTCTCAGTTAGTTGTAATTGACATAAAATTATCGAGAAAATAAGAATGAGAAGAGCAAGTGGAAAGTATTTTGAATAGTCTGCAGGTTAATCAAGCAGATGGATGTCTTGGTGGATGTTCTCCATATTTTTGTGATTTTCTCTCAATAGTTTCATTACATGAAAAAATGAGGTTGAAGATTATGTTGACCCTTTTGATATGAGCGCCGTATGCATTACCATTTCGCAATGAGCGCCGTATTATTTCAAACTCATGTTTCACAAAAAGCGAGCGTTGTACGAATCTGGCTGAAGAATTTAATATAATGTTCATTTACATTTCTCTAGTGCCATGCTAAACTTGCAATCCTCCGTCGTGAAGAATCGATGGTAAAAGGAACATTAAAAGAGAACATGACAGGTTCCTATGAGAATCATATGCGCAACTGTCCTTTTATTGTTTTAATCCATGAATGTTGTATAAAATATTCATAATACATGTACTTCTTCAAGCAAAACGGTAGCCATTTTCAAGCCCAGTGAATAATAGCAGTGAATAACCATAATTCACTGGTCTAGAAGTCCTTGGGTAAGTATTATAACATACAAGGAACTTTAGACCAGTGAATAATGGTTATTCACCGCTATTATCCACTGGTGTGAAAAATAGTTATCATTTTGCTTGAGGAAGTACAACAGTTGTGGACAAATAATTAATATAAGGTATCTTCAATTTTTAGTCATCCTAATGCCAAACAAGTAATGATAAAACAGTTGTTAAAAATAAATTTATATATCAAAAATAATAGTAGACGTGGACAAAGTATAGTATTCTAGCACTCATTATATTCTTGTTGAATAATATACTATGTACGTTTCAAGAGCGTTAAGACCTCGGTTGAGACAGTGTAAAAGAATTATGTTTCGGTTTTGTTCCCAAACCACAAGAAGCATCCCAACCTGGGGTAATAAGATGTGTAGTTTGTTGCATAAACAAAAAACGAAATGATAGCAGGTGATAGCACATACCATTGTGAAACATGTAATTTTGGATTATGTGTCACACACTGTTTTGAGATATATCATACCAAGAAATGTTATTTCATGTGTAGATATACCAATTTTACTTGTTTCTTTGGGATTTTCTCTCCTCGTTTCTATAAAATAAAAGTATTCGTATTATTTCAATATATTTGTAGAGGGACAAATCAGATGATTTGCCCCAAAATGTCACTGCGTTTAACAAATTTTTCTATCAGGGAGTCTCAAAGAAAAATCCAGTAGCTTGTCAGTGACAATTTGTTTGAAAAAAAATTTTTGAAGGAAAGAAATATAGATATATTGAAAAAATATCGAATTTGTACTTATCTTTGGACGTTTCGGGACCGATTCTGCTCCCGTTCTCAACATGTAAATGCAAATTATTTTTCTTTGAAAGTTGTGCTGCGTATATAGTTTGACACTTTTCAGTGTCACACTGATGTTGGCATATGAATGAGTGATTTTAGTCTACAAATGAGTTACAGGATGTTTTCATTAATTGATCTTGAATCTACCATTTCATGTTCAGTTTTCAGTAGTGAATACCATGTTCTATCAATATCAACTGAACAGGAAGCAATGCTATTGTCTCCGTTCAGAAGAATGCAAGCGGATTCCTTTATTTTTCTTTTTTGTTTGTTATCTTCCTTTCCTATGATTTTGATATTATTCCACTGTGCCATATGTTGTCCATGGTATTCACTACTGAAAACTGAACATGAAAATGGTAGATTCAAGATCAATTAATGAAAACATCCTGTAACTCATTTGTAGACTAAAATCACTCATTCATATGCCAACATCAGTATGACACTGAAAAGTGTCAAACTATATACGCAGCACAACTTTCAAAGAAAAATAATTTGCATTTACATGTTGAGAACGGGAGCAGAATCGGTCCCGAAACGTCCAAAGATAAGTACAAATTCGATATTTTTTCAATATATCTATATTTCTTTCCTTCAAAAATTTTTTTTCAAACAAATTGTCACTGACAAGCTACTGGATTTTTCTTTTAGACTCCTTGATAGAAAAATTTGTTAAACGCAGTGACATTTTGGGGCAAATCATCTGATTTGTCCCTCTACAAATATATTGAAATAATAGGAATACTTTTATTTTATAGAAACGAGGAGAGAAAATCCCAAAGAAACAAGTAAAATGAATGTACCACCTCCTCGATTAACCTACAGACAGTAGATATACCAAAATAGTACAAAAAGTTGTATGCTAGGAGAAATTGAATAAAATTGATTTTGCAGGAAATACAACTTTTTGTACTATTTTGGTATTGATACAAGCTTCCATCATGATTACAACTGATCCATGATCTATGTATTATACTTGTGGCTTTTGCTGAGGTTTTTGCAGTATATTACCCCAGATATTGCCATACATTCATAGTTAATTTCCCTCTTGCACTCCAATCACAACCCCAATAAACTTAGCAGAACCATTTCAACATTTCTGAATTGCAAAAGTCCTATAATTTGTTACTAATTTAGTACTAATTTATTACCATATTTGCGAATTTATTACTCTTCATTCAACAAAGAAAACCAACAGCTCTGCTAGCTTTATGTCAACCTAGCAGAACCATATTGATTATTTTGAAGACTTTATATATACCAGATTTTATTACTATTTAATTACTAACTTATAACTGAAATCGTGAATTTTTTACTTGCCATTTGATGGGAAAAAACGCCAATTTGTCAATCTTGATCACATCATAACCTTGCAAAACCGAAACTCTAATGACACATAAAAAATTCATGATTATAGTTTTATAAGTTAGTAATTGAATAAATTATGGTATGGTATATTTGAAATTCTCAAGAAAATAAATTTTTAGCTATGGTTCTGCTAGGTTGACATAAAGCTAGCAGAGCCATTAGTTTTTTCTGATGAAAGAAAGGTTGCAAATTTGCAAATATAGTAATAAATTAGTAATAAACTATTTAACTTATTGATGACCCAATAGAATGTTTAATAACATGTGATTTGAGTTTTGTTCTGCTACATTAACTATAGTTATAAGTTAGTAATTGAAGAGTAATAAACTCGGTAATAAATTATGGTATATTCGAAAATTTACAAGAAATGTATTTTTAGCTATGGATCTGATAGGTTGGCATAAAGCTAGCAGAGGGTAATAAATTCACAAATATGGTAATAAATTAGTACTAAATTAGTAATGAATTTCAGGACTATTGCAAATCTGAAATGTTGAAATGGGTCTGCTAGGTTTATTGGGGTCCAAATCACAAGAATTCTCAAAGATAATACTAGGGCCACAATATGAGCAAACTCAAAATTATCCCTGTCAAATGCATAGTATTGGTGTTCATATAAATGAATTGACTGTAAATAAAGTAGCATATACTAGGAGATATACTACTTGCAATTTTCAATACTATTATTTCAATAGAAAGTCACTATTTTTACTTCATTAATGGATTGAAACAATTTGAAACCTGTTTATCAAAATATTACATTATCATTAGGTGGATGATTATAAGGTAAATCTGAGAGTAAACCACTGATGAAACAGGGACTGCTGGATTCTGTGCATTGAATTTAGGATTTCATAGAAAAGTGTTGAAAAGGTAGCATTCATTTTCTGGGTAGTTGGGTATTCTACTAGAGTCTCGAGATCATACCCGTGTGTTCACCGAACACGCCCGATCGTTACCAAAGCGGTGGGGAGACCGAGACGTAAGCAGGCAGATGATACAATGAGTGGGCAGGCAGCTTCTCTCATGCTCTCTCTGTTTTTGCAGTACGGGGTGGGCCACCAACAGTTTTCTTGATCACATTTCAACATTTTTTTTTTCTAATAAATAAGAAACATTTGATAGGCATCAAGTGATCTACTGCGACCTATCAGATAATGAAAGCGATGATTTGATTTGCAATAATTCGCTATGTCACGACGAGTCCTACATGTAAATAGCGAACCACTCATCGAAAATCATGAAACTATATGTACATATTATATGCTTATGTTTTGTTGGCGAGGACGCTCGTTTTATTCAAATTATTTTCGATAATGTTCATCTGCTTCACTAGAAATTATTATTAGTAGTTAGTAGTAGTAGTAGCAGCAGCTTTGTTATTCAAAATGGAACACCTTATATTTTATTACTTTTTTCGATTCTTCTAATTGAGCTATGATTTCGTTGATCAAGCTCAAGGTATACCTATAGGTAGAATGTGAAAAATCGAGATTTTTTTGTATGGAAACTATACAATACCTATATTGATTTGTCAAAATGGCTTACATGTGTCCCTATCCTAACATTCTATTTACTGTCTACTGATGCCATTTAATTGAAACAAATACAGGGTGGATCAGATTTCAGAATTATATAAAAGAAGTACTAGTATGCCTACTAAATATAAAATATATATATTTGAAATAAACAATACAAATATATCACATAAAAAACACACTCTAATATTCAACATAAAATAAAATTCAATCCCACTGGATGTATTTAAAAATATAAACAGTGTGCATGTCACTTATTCTAATGGAATCAACCCGTATACCTATCTAACGTAACTGTTCAATTTTAAGGAGCGACAGATATATATACCAACTATGACCAAAGTGAGGTAATCTTCAGTGAAATACACTGCCAACATTTCCGGAAAATGATATTAGGAGGCAAGATAGGTTGAAAATCACTTCGGATTCGAAATCAGGACGTAACCCTGTACCTCGAAAACGAAGCAAGTTTAGGTCACATGTTTATATGACCTTTATTCATCATATTATATCACTAGGAATCATCCCTTGAATTATTTCGGTGTTATTTAGATACACCCTGTATAGATCATTCTTCATCCCAAAATATAGTTATTCAACATTTTTCCCATAGCGAAGTTCAGCAAATACCGATGGCGAGAGCACTATGTTTATTGATTTGATGTCTACCTATAATATATGTAAAACAAGAAGGCACAACTATACTAGAGTGTTCCGTTTCGAAGTACATTAAATTGACAAATTTGACTTCAAAATAATTCAGGCACGCGCCAATATTCATAACGTAGTTACTGCTGCCCGTTTACGTCTCCCCCCCCCCCCCCCCCGCTTAGGTAACGATCGGGCGTGTTCGGTGAACACACGGGTATGATCTCGAGACTCTAGTGGGTATTCTGGGCTCTTTATTTGCAATAGAAAATAAGCTTATGCCACCTATAGGAGTTCATGAAAGCTGTCAAAGCTGCCTGTTTACTTTGTTTTGATTGGTTCAGTTGTTTTTTGTCAATGCTTATTGGTCATTTCATCTAAACAAATTGCTCAGAAGTGTTCAAGTTGTTATTTTCTATCAAGAATGAAATGATTTTTCATTAATCACCTGTTCACTTACTTTGATAGAAAATTAGAAATGCTCTTTTTTCTTGGATTTGAGCTAGGAATCTCAAAATTAGATAAAGACCTATCTTCAGAACCTATAAGACTTCCAGATGTTGATGCATCACTTATGCCACTCAAGGTAGAAACTGTACTAGAAAATGAGCCTGCTTCAATCCTTCTGTGTCCAAATTTTTTAGCATTGATTTCCTCAATTTTTATTGTCTCCTCATTAGGAATATGTTTTTCATTTGGATGATCAGGTGTTGTTTCAATAAAATGTAACTGCTTAGTTACAGGACTATAAGCTAATGATATGTTCTGCAATGCTTCCTGTAGAGTAAATGTAGTTTTAGGAGTTTCAGTCTCACTGGAATTACATTTTGATTCTAATTGAGTTTTGTCTTCATTTGGAGAGTGTAGTGGAGTAGTATCTGTACTCCTCAACTTATCATAGCGGTCTGGCCAAGTTTTGAACCAAGACTGACTAGATGAACTATTTTTCTCTTTTCTAGAAGTTTCATTATCACTAGTGCTATTGGATTCTTCAATCAACTTATCTGCATTGTTAATGCTCCCAGGTAGGCTTTGGCAAGAAAAGCTTTCATACTCATACACATTTGTACTCATTCTTCCCCAAAGGCAATTTGTAAAATGATTTAGTACTTCCTGTTGAAGTTAAATTCGATGTTTCTACAATCAGATGATCTGTGACATCTTTGGTGGGATCATCAAAATCAGAATTTTTCATTGCTTGATGAATAAATCCTCCACATTGATAGTGTGAGTATGGACAAGGGAAATTATATTTTCACATATATATGTTTCATGTAATCTTGATGTCTTGTCCCAAATAACGATAAGTAAAAATTAGAAATATAAAAAGGTGTCAAAAACAATAACTTAGAAATAGGCAATCCAACGACCTGTCAAATAATTTCAAAATGGCGTCTGGTTGGCAAATAAACCAAAGTCAAGTTTGTTTACTTGAGAACTTTGTGGGTTTTGGAAGCCTCTTACAGTATTATTTCATCGAGTTTCGGCTAGATTTATTGTGAATAATGAAAACTCAGTATGATTTCAAAGAAAAAATTGCCAGTAACGTGAATTGTGGTGGATTGTGGAAGCAGTGCAGATCGGGACCATTTGCTGTTTTGTCACATTCCTACTGTAATACTGTGAAAAACTCTGAGCATTACCCACAGATGAAGGATCTATCAAGAAAAATAAGGGATATGTGGATAGCAGCCATCAAGAGAAAGAATCAGCAACAGAATCAATCATAATAAACCAGAGGATATGTGTCAGACACTATTTTCATAACAGGTACCTAAGAAAAAGGATTTTAATATTATTTATATGTACCTACCTACTCTAGAACTGATGAGTTTAGTGTTTCATCCTATGGAAAACTTATCTTTTTTTCATTTTGATGAAATAAACCAATACTCATTACTTTTAATGGACTTACATAGTTTGGAAACATCATGTTTCTAATACATAAATAAATCATCTACCTTGTAGGAGAACGTAGTGCCTGAAAGATGAGAATATCCAGCTTGGGTCCCATTGCAATATAATATGGGTCATCAATCTCTTGTCCATTCGAAATATGCAAGACTGATGTGGATCAAAAACTGAGAGCAGACAAAAGGTTCAAATCATGAATCAAGCATCAGAACCCAGAGACCTGGTATGTTCTCAAGAAAACACCTAATTACCTAATACTACTACTACTACATCATTTTTTATTTATTTTAGTATAATGAAGAAAGTGTCCTGGGAGATAAAGAAATAGAAGAGAAAATTGGTGAAAACAAGGTGAAAATTTACAAGATTATAAGTACTTTTACAAATTACAGTTTGTCTTGATTTATTTTTATCATTTATAAATGTAAGACAAATAAAGTAAGTATATCAAAATAATTGTAATATTCATTAAATGAAAAATACATTGTATTATTCCACTATATTACAAAAGATCTACATGAGTCATGAAAAAAATCTTCATAGAACATTATAGTTATTCAGTGATCTGATTGAAACAATAATAAACAATGATTGAATGATATATTTATTATGAATAGGTACATATTTTTTTATAGAACATGTTGAATCAGAATTCACAAAACCATGCTGATTCTGGTGTACCTAAAATATCTACACATTCAAAATAGAACCCTTTATCACTGTCACAACTAGTCATAGGGGTTCCATCATCAGCACTTGAACACTCACACCAATAGTTCACTTCTGGTGAAATTAATATCCACTCAAAAGTCCAGGTATTATAACTTCAGCATGAAACTTCAAAGCAATTTGTGAATGTTATTTCTTGGACATTGAAGATATAGTAGGGATTTTGTATTGAACCAGTCAGAGCAACTGTACCTATGGCCATTTCTGCTATTGGTATGATGGGCACAATCATGGTGAGAGTGGTGGCATGGGCCACAAAGCACATACATCAGTACATGAAACTGTTCCTTATTTACTTGCCCAAGCCTCAGTTACTTATTAGCACAGAATCTGATTGTGAATATTTTACCTTAAAAAAATTGCATGAGATATACATGAATATGAGATAGGAAATATATTCAAAAATATATGAATAACATAATTTCATCATTCAAAATGTTCCTATCATGAAAGTTATTTAGGTATAGAAGTAAAAAGTTACCTTTCCAACTATGACATGAAAATCATCCATCTTCCTGTCTACTTCCTGGACAAAAGTTGCTGAGAAATACTTGTGAACAACAAGGGTTTTGAATGCTCTCATTTGCTCATGAGGGTAGAAACTGTGGGTCACTATAAATAGTAGGAGAGTATAATTATGTGGTAGTCTAATCAGTCAGCAGTTTCAGATGTGAAGGGCTTCAAATCCTTGATCAACATCAGCTTCATCAGATATCTACAAACAAATAATGGTTGTATATGATAGTTTCAGGAATGAAAATTTACTGGTTAGTTGAGAAAAATAGCTGAAAAAACAATAAATATTCATGTTTACCTCTGACCAACCTCTTAGTTTTCCTGCAATAACTTCTGGAAATATGAGCTCAGCATATTGAAGCACTGTTCAATTCAGCTCTGAGACTCCCTCAAACACCTGACACATAAAACTACCAGAATAATAGATAATAGGGTGATTCGGACAAAATACAATTTAATTACAAGTGATGTATAATCTTTGTTTGCCAACCAGACGCCATCTTGTCAGCTAAAATGTCACGTGGTTTGGATTGCCTAAATGTCAACATTTTGTGATTTGAACTCCCTAACCTGAGTTTTCCAAATAACAGAGGATTGAAGTGATTGAACTCGGTACAATACTGTCAGCTGTCACTGTTATAATACTGTCAGCTGTCACTTTTTTTACAGAATCTGGAATCATATGACATCCCCATGGAGCCATGTGAATCTGGCAGCTGGTAGCTGCTAGGATTTCCATCTGCCAGCATTTCCGATGTTACCCGAAGACCAGTGGCGTCACGTTTTTTCAATAAAACTTATATCTGGCTGCCTAGCAGCAGGATTTCCATCTGCCAGGATTTCCGAAGTTACCCAAAGACCTGTGTCACGTTTTTTAATGAACATTGTATTATGATCATTGAGAATTTTGAATAAATGTCTCATTTCCACGAAAAGGCTGATAATAGCATAAAATGATCATTGGTATTGGAATCTTTATTGTTTTCCACAATTGAAAGCAATAGGCAAATAATAAAAATAATATATGATAATTGACTGACTGAACAATAATAAATTAACATTTTCTTACACTTTTGATCAGGAAAGCTAGCAGGTTTTGAGGTCTTTCTGAAATTGTTATATTTTATCAAATATGTGAAATATATAGAAAATCCAATTCTTTGTGGTGAACCAATTTCTTGCTGATGAGGTTGAGATGACCCAGTAAACACAACACGTTTCAGAAACATTTCAAAAGTTCCCTAATACGTGTCATCTGAAACATTCCAATGTTAACATAAAGGAAACATGTCTGGAGTTCTCCATGCTATGTGAAATATTTCAGAAATATTTCAGGAATATGTCAATACATACGTCTCATATTCGTTACAAAAACTCTTTGCTTGGAATGTCTCACGTGAATCTCTAGATGTGTCATCTGAAACATTCCAATGTTAACATGAAGAAAACATTTCTGGAGCTCTCCATGCTATGTGAAATATTTCAGAAATATGTCAATACATACGTTTCACATTCGTTACAAAAAATCTCTGCTTGAAATATCTCACGTGAATCTCTAGACGCGTCATCTGAAACATTTCAATGTTAACATAAAGGAAAAATTCCTGAAGCTCTCCATGCTATGTGAAATATACCAGAAATATGTCACTATTCGTTATAAAAATTCTCTTCTTGAAATGTCTCACGTGAATCTCTAGACGTGTCATCTGAAACATCGCCATGTTTACGTAGGTATGTGAAATATTTCTCAGTTGTTATGCGTGACGTGAAACATTTCTGGAATGTTTCAATACATGTGATTACTATTTGTTTGAAATGCATCATATTCGACGTTGCCAGGTTCATGATTTCGTTTTATTGGCTATAATGAATCACATGCTCGAGTGTGACCAATGAATACGGGTGGTTACTCTGGCAACATCGGCATATGACAGTCCGAACCAAGCACGGCCGGCTCCGACTTGCTCCGACTGTCCAGTCCGAGAAGAGAGTGGGTGAACACAAAGACGAAGCCATTCTTTTGAGGTTAACCAAGGTGATATACGGTATACATATCGTAAAATTTGGACAGATTCAACAAATAAGTTTTTGAGGTTGTTTAGTGTTAGATTTCGGTAATCGCGAATAAAAATAATCAAACCAGAGAAAGTGAGCCAACACAGCGATAAGTGTAAGAACAACAAACAAACATAATCATTAATAACATCCCGTAGCCATCCCACACCCGCTTAAGGCACTAGCACAACACCATAACCTAAATCTCCCGGCATGGGCGAAGAAACGGGGGGCCCAGCGCCCCCCCCAACCTAAACCACCGGACATCAAAATAGATAAATACAGTGAAAAGGACTCCGGCCCTTTTCTCGTAATCATTGAAAGCAAAAATAATCAAATAGGGAACCTCCACCCAATTTCGGTAGGAAGAAAACTGAAACACAGCAACACCAACGGAATCAAAAACATCACCAAAAAAGGAAGGAATAGAATTCACTAACAGAGAATCAGCCAACAACTTCATGAACAACAAAATCCTAGAGGCAAACCAATGGGAAGCTTTCATCCCTCTCACATTAGTAACTTCAAAGGGCCTAGTCAGGGGCATAGAACTGGAAACAACCATGGAGGAACTGATAAAAGAGGGTAGATCAGCATGCAAAATTCTGGCTGCCCGAAGATTTAACAAAAAAGTAATTACTAAGGGAATCACTACCTATGAACCTTCAGAGACAGTATAGTAATAACATTCCAAGGCAAGAAAATCCCAGAAAGCATAGAAATCAACTATTATGAAGCAAGAGTCCAGGTATATGTAGACCCTGTTCTACAGTGTATGAACTACCTAAGGTTTGGTCACTCAAAAAAAATATGCAAGAGCAAAACTAGATGCCCCAGATGCACACTGGAACATGAAATCA